GTACTATCATACTTTTGGCAGGTAAAAATAATTATTTATCATTACTTAACTTAATTAACATAAAACCTCAATCATTAGGTCAATAGAATATTTCGTAAATTTATTCGCGAAATTATTTCGGCTGCCCAATTCTAAAACACAGTAACTGCAAAATTTTTATACCTGATTTTTTTTTTAGTATTGCTGCATTTTTTATAACTTTTAAACCTTAATTTCAAGTATTTTTTCTTAAAAATATTTATATTTGAGTAGTTTCTATTTATAAATCAAATTTGTCATTAATTTGGCGGGCAAACTTTTTTCTAATAAGAAAAATTGAAAAAAATTTTTAAATATTAGTTACTGTATTTTGAAATTGGGCAGCCGATTTGATTACCGTGGTTAAAAATAGTCGTACATGTGATTAAGCAATTGACATTTTACCATACGAGGTTGAGTAATTTATTCAATAAATTACCTTAATTCAATAATATTTTAGTGCTTGCAATTATTGTCAGCCGATCAGCAACACATCAGTTTCAAGTAACTGTCAGTGTATTTTGGCCGATGGATTTGATGTGTCTGGAATAGTAACCGTCAATAGAATGTACCCCGGACCAGCAATCCAAGTTTGTTTAGGTGACTTCGTGGTTGTAGACGTAACAAACAAGGTTCCTGGAAATGGATTGACGATTCATTGGCACGGGATTTATCAAAAAGACTGGCAGCATTACGACGGTGTACCTTTCCTCACTCAGTGTCCAATATCAGAAGGTTCAACATTTCGGTACCAGTGGCGAGCACAAAATCCTGGCTCCCATTTCTGGCATGCACATTCTGGTTTCCATAAAGGTGAAGGACTTCACGGACTCATTGCTATCCGGGAACCCAAAGTTTACGACCCAAATGCCAAGCTGTATGATTTTGATAATCCAGATAATGTTATTTTTATTTCTGACTGGATGCATGGTAGTGTCAAAGGCCATATTCCAGGAACCACTGTTCATAATCCTGGTCAAGTTCCTGATAATATTCTCATTAATGGCAAAGGACAATTCATGGTAAATTATAATTAAAATAAAATAAAATTTTAAACGAACAAACTATTTAATTTTTTTTACTCCAGGATGCGTATGGGCGTGAAACATTGACTCCATTAGCTGTTTTCAATGTTAAATCTGGCAAGCGTTATCGTTTTCGCTTGATAAACGGCGGCAGCTTCAATTGTCCTGTTAAATTTACAATCCAGAATCACGACGTCACGTTAATTAGCTTGGACGGTGAACATATTGAGCCACGTACCGTTACAACCATAACTTCATTCTCAGCAGAACGGGTTGACTTTGTTCTCAACGCTTATCAGGCTGTTGGCACTTACTGGATCCAGGTTCGCGGTTTTGGTGTCTGTGCTGATAGGGGCATCCAGCAGTCCGCTGTTTTACGTTACGTTGGCTCACCATTGGAGATACCGGCAACTTATAAGCCATTTTATAATTTGCCCCTTGATCAGGGAATTGTAAGTCATTTTCTTCTTTTAATAATTCCTAAAAAATTTATAATCTATTGCACGACTCGTGAAGTGAAGCATTGATTGAGTTCAATTTTTTTTTTTTTGAAAGAACTGTAGGTCACCGAATGCGAATTGCTAAGTAACTTAGAGTCGTTTATTTGCAATCAATAAAATTAAAAATATATAGCTGCCGAAATTGCAGAAAAAGTCACTGAACTAACAGTTGAAAAAAATTAACTGTATCGAAACGGAATTATTTTGACACGCAATTTTCATAAGGATTTAACAAACTTCTTAAGGAATAAAACAAAAAAAAAAATTAAATCGTAAAAATGATTTTTGATAAAATTGTGGTGATATCATATTCATTTAATTAATTAATCAGAAAAACGAGTTTTTTCTGAGAAATCTTATTTAATCGATAAGAAAATTTTTTTAACGTGCTCTGTAGTTATTATTATTTATTTCAATATGCTTTTTTATACATAATTTTTTTCGTTTGAATTATGAAAATCACATTTTAATCAAAATCACGATTTTTAGGCGAGAGTAGAGCATACCTGCGCGCTTTGCGCTTAAGGCATACAAAAAGCCAAAGGACTGTATATCTATATGAAATAAATTTCATATGAAACATCCTACTATAGGCGAGTGTACAATATTACCCTATTTCAGCTGTCTCATATTTTTTTCCACATTCGCTTTCCAAATTTTTTAATTTTTTATTATTGATTTAGGTTTTTAATGAAATAAGCGAAGTTTGCGATGGTACAACTACCAATAAAATCTGTCTTAAAGATCTAACAGCCATTGAAGATCTTCAACCAAGTATTGTTACAAGAAAATCTGATATCAAGTTATACTTGCCGTTTAACTTCCATTTGTATAATGATACTGATCTTTTCAAGCCAAATACTTACAAACGTTTTCTTGGTTGTATATTTTGTTTAATTTATTTTCTCATATTCATCAATAAAACTATAATTGTAAAAAATTATTTTAGCTCCTGATGGTGGCGACAATTTTGGTGCTTTGATTGGTGGAATTTCAAATGTCAGTCCATCATCACCTTTCATCAGTCAGCTTGATGAAATTCCTAAAGAACAGATTTGCAATCAAACACATTTACCAGCTAGGTGTTTAAAGTCAAACAATTCTATTTGTCATTGTTCACATGTCATAAACATTCCACTTAATTCAGTCGTGGATCTTATTATCGTTGATGCATCTGGTGAGTTATATATATTAAAAATCAGTTATAAATTTTAATCGTTAAATTGAAACTTCTAGGTCCCACTGGGATTTCCCATCCATTTCATTTACATGGATTCGGTTTTCACGTGTTAGCTCAAGGCTTACTATCAAAAGTAAATCTTACAGAAGACAACGTGGAACAAGCAATTGAACTTGACGGCCAAGTATACGGACTTTCTCACAGTAAGCCAATAACAAAAGATACGATAGCCGTTCCATCAGAAGGCTATGTAATTGTCCGGTTTGTTGCCGACAATCCAGGTAAATCATTATCTTTTATTAAAGAATGCATTTCTTCACTGTCGCTAATTAAAATTTTTCTTCTTTTTATAGGCTGGTGGCTATTTCACTGCCATTTCCTTCCTCATTTATACAACGGCATGAGTTTAGTTATTCGAATCGGTGAACAAGAGGATTTGCCACACACACCCAAAGGTTTTCCTAAATGCGGGAATTTCATGCCAAACTTTTACAAGAAAAATCCAAAGTCACGTAGAAATACTTAAATTTATTTAAACACAGAAAACTTCTGTGCTCGCTATCGGATTTTATGATATTGTTTGCAATCCGGGGTGATTCCCAAGACTTGAAGATAACTTCTCAGCGATTGGTAAAGAAGTTTTCTTGCATGAAGAAGGCGGGCTCGATCACTAGTTTGTTTGAAAAATAGAAATTTTTTATTTAACTTTGATAACAGTATTTGTAATTATGTATTTATAATAAAAAAATTTTTTTTTTTCAATTAACATTTCCTTTCAAGCATGTTGGTAATTAAGCAGTTCACACTCGACACTTACTAATAGTCAATGACATTTGCTAATGATATCATCCAAGGATATAAACAGAGCGCAATAGGCTATGCGGAATCACATGGAACTTTCCTTTAATTGACCTACTTTTTTCCATTAACCTTCTTGAAGATTAGCATTACTGGTCTGGATCATTCCATTTATTTTACCTTTCTCATCATAATACCCTTGAAGTCCATTTGTTAACGCAATGGAATTTTTTATAGTTCACACTTCGTGTCAGGATATAAAAAATGTTCTCTATTTTCATCACGAACTCTCCCGTATCTATTACGTATGGATAAAAATAAGGAAATTCCGTATTTACGGTAACGATAATCATGTAAACCGTTAGTTATTCATCAGGCACGAGGTTGTCTATTGCGCACGTTCGTTCTTTGAACAATCAACTGCGACTTTTCAACCTAGACCGTTACTTGATTTTCATCATTTTTATTTGACAAACAATCCAAGAATTTTAATAATTATTTAAATGCATTTATATTGCGTACAAAACCATAAAAAATATACGTAATTTCTTTTAACAACGAAATTCATTTAAAATGTATAATTAAATAATTTATTTATAAGCTAGTAATTAACATTTTTTCAGTCATAAATAATTTAAATTCAACAGCTTAAAAGATTTCAAAAAGTATATTGATTAAATTATAAATTCAAATTATAAATTATATTTAGAAATGAAAAATGTTAGATTGTCAAATGTTAGGTCGTAAAATGCTACTTTGTTAAGAGAGAAGCTAATAATCGAGAGAAATTTATGTTTTAAAAGTATTGAAGCATCAAATAATCATTTAATAAGTACAGTGAGTTGACAATACAATTCGTAGATGCGTACAATACTGTATAGTATACCTAGAGATAGTTGACCGAGTTTAAATAGTGGGAGGTTCCTTTCACCAAAAAGGAGAAAAGTACATTTACTTAAACACTTAATTTATTGTGTTTAAGTGTAACTAATCTTATAATTATTATTTTGATTCTATTGTATGCATAGAAAATATAAACAACACTGTAAACAAGTATTATCATCACCGGAGGTATATTATTTTGTAATGTAGAATAATAAGCAGAGTTGAGCGCAATTGCATTATTATGCGCATTCAATTTCTGTTCAGGTACGATTTTCGAGGCTGAAACTCTCTTGTAGCCACAAAACCATTACAGGGTTTAGTACTGGAGATCTTCAGCGAGGCGACTTTAGTTTCGTTCTATGCAATGCTACCACAGTCAACAATCGTCACTCCAAGAGAGTGCACCCTTGATAATTCCTTCTCTTCTTCCCGTCACAATAAATCTAAACTTTCTTGAGTACTTTTAAATTTATAATTAACCATGTAATTAGTGAAAGTTGTGTTTAAAAAATAATTATTAACAAATTAATAAATATAAAAGTGATGATTTATATATTAAAAGTGTGAAAAATTGAAGTAATTTTTAAATTAAAGATGGATTTCAAGGAAGGATTACATTTTCTTTATGACAGCTTAATATTTTTGTGGCTGTCAGTTGTGTATATAACAGAGTCATTAATTTTGAGCTTAATACCTCGAAAATACAGAAGCAAAAGTATTCAAGGCGAGATAGCATTAGTGACAGGAGGTGCTGGCGGGTTAGGAAGATTAATTGCTTCGAAATTAGCGAGCCTTGGGGCTCACGTTGTGATATGGGACATCAACAAATTAGGTAGGAAATAATGCAATATAAATGAAAAATTATAAAGAATAAATATCTATGACCTGTATCTTAGAAACAAATCCTTTTTTGTCATTGAGGACAGAGAAAGTACCTCATTGTATGCTGATCTTTGTGATTGCGTTTGGTTAATGCACATATATGATAAATCTTAGTGCAATAAATAACCCGGGAAAGTAAGATTATTTTTTTTTTTTAAATATATAATTCTGATCAATTGAATAACAATACATTTTTTTATTGCGCATTAATTACGCGAGAAAAGCCTATTGATTTTGCATACCTGATATAATTTTATAATTATTATTACTCATACTGTAATCAAAATAGACGCCTGTCATTAAGATCTAATAAGATTACAATAAATTGCATGTTCAAGATTCTAAGTCGAGAGTTTAATAAAACAAAATAAAATTGACTGGTTAATTAAATTTTTTTTTTTTTTTTTTCTAATTATTATTTAATAGTCGGGATACTAAGCGAGCAATCTCTTTGTGAAAGTTTCTGATGATAATCTTTAATCTTCATAAAAATAGACTAATGAATAATGAAGAGAGATGAAAAAAATAATAAATTAGCACTTTGAAAGTGAAAAAACACTTATTTTTAATTATTTTCAGAGGATAAAATAAAATAAATTATTTTTCAATACTATGTTATGTTAAGTGTAAAATAATAAAATGAAAGAGTTTACAATACAAACCACAGAAAAAAAATTGCAGTGAATATTTTAGCATACTATTTTGCAATAATCATGAGGCAATTATTATTCAGAAACACGCACGATTTATCATTAAAATTAATCAGCCAGATATATAATTAACATATCAATATACAATGTATATAATTGAATTTATTTATATATTTTTTTGCTCTAGGGATTAAGGATATTGTGGACGAAATAAAAAGCCAGGGTGGCAAATGCACTGGATATGTTTGCGACATAAGCAATCGAGAAGATATTTATCGCGTTGCTAAAACAGTACAAATGGAAATTGGAAATGTATTGTGTTTATACTACTACTTTATGTACTATGTTTAATTTATTACAAACTTTTCTCAATAATTTAACTCACTTGCAGATCACAATTATCGTAAATAACGCTGGTTATGTGTGCGGTAAAACTTTTATGAATCTCCCAGATGATGAAATCGAGAAGACTTTCAAAGTTAATATTCTCTCGCATTATTGGGTACAATAATCCATTAGACAGTGTCAATATTTAACGTTATGGATTTTGAATAAATAAATAATTTATTTAAATATATTTAAATTTTTTAGATAAATAAATCATTCATGAAAGAAATGATGAAAGAGAACCATGGTCACATCGTCACTATTGCGAGTGTCGCGGGATTGCTTGGTACTTATAATTGTACCGATTATTCAGCGACTAAATTTGCGGCAATTGGCTACCATGAGAGTTTGTTTACCGAATTAAAAGTAAGTGTATACTAACTGATTTTTAAATATCACATAAAAATGTTTAAGTATTTGAAAGTCAACAATTTCTTTTATTTTTTTAGGTACACGGATACCATGGAATTAATACGACATTAGTCTGCCCATACTTTATAAACACAGGAATGTTTCCAGGTGTCAAGCCAAGGTAAATAACACATGTCGTAATCGAGCGGAAAGTTTAAATTGATTTAGACTCTGAAATAATAATGTAGTTATTTTCATTTTTTTTTATTTCAGATTGTTACCTATGCTAGAGCCTGAATACGTAGCAAATGAAGTTGTCGCTGGCATACTAACTAATCAAATAAATGTTACTATGCCTTTAAGTACAAAGTATTTTTTACCGCTTAAAAGGTACAGTTGTTTAAAACTTATCAATTATTGTTTATTTTATTTACATTTATTTTAATGTAAAAAATATATATTGTAATTTTATTTGATTTTGTAGCTGGTTACCACCAAAACTCTGTTGGGCTCTGATGTATAACATCATTAAAGGGCCACAGACCATGATGATGCTACAGAAAAATGAGAACATGCACAATTACGATCGTTTGAAAAATTATTAGTTTTAAAAGCTTATCATCAATAAATTAAGTTTTTGTTAGATTACAGGCTAATTTTTTTTTTAAGAATATGAAAATAGTGAGATTGTGTACTTACGTATTAAAATAGGTCGTAAAAGTAATTTAAACCTTGGCCAAGTTCCCAAATTGAGAGTCCAGTTCCTAATTCTCGGGCTAAGTCTATTCTTTGTTGGATGGAATAGAGCGTAGGATAAAATATATAACCACTGGCTTTTGATGATCTGAAAGACAATAAAAATTTAAGATTATGAATAAGTATTATATTCTATTAATTTTTACTTAATAAATTTACCGATATTCTAACAGATGTTCTTTACTTCTTTCATCCCACTGCAGTTTACCCTTGTAAGAATCGAGATATTTTATGTACTGAGATCCCAAAATAGCACCACCACCATCAGGTGTGTAATTATTTCCGTAAAAGTTTAGCCCCATTAATATTTTAGAGCGTTTTGGATCATCGTCGTCAGGTACTAATTTTTCAATGCATTCTCGTGCCCATTCAAGTGGACTGTTTGGTCCAGGTCGTTGGACATTTGAAAAATCATAGGTCATTAATGAAAAGAAATCAATGTGAGGTGACAACTCTTCAAATTGGCCTTGTGAGAATATTTGTCCAGGTGGTCTAAAAAAATCTTTTTATATAATAAATATTGAACTCTATTTAAAATAATATATACTTAATTAAAATACATTATGACTAATTTACCCTTGAGCTGGTGGAATAGCTAATATTACTTGTAATTGTTTACTTTTAAGTCTTTTGGCCAATGATTTTATTACACTGACAACAACTTTTGATTCAGCGCCTGTGTAAATTACTTGATTCCATATTTCTAATACATATCCATGAAACTGAAATTTCTATAACAAAATAAAAATAAATAATTATTCAACGAATTGAATTTTTTTTTTTTTTTTTTTATTATTGATTATTAAATAGTTACCTGAGCTAAATCGATAAGTGAAGATATCAATTGATTTTTTTTCTGAACATCACGGTTCAATGAAGATATATCACCCGCTGACCACTGTTCAAATAAAACTCTGGGTAAAACTGCAATAGTAAAATTAATTAGGAATGACGATAAAAAAAAAACTGGAATTATTATTAAATAAAATAGATTGATACTTTTGACAGTATGATTTCCTTCATTAGCTGTTTTTATATCTTTGAGCCATTTCTTCTGTACATCATGCGTGGCAATTTGAAACTTATCAGAACTTTGTATATTGAACCATACTGGAGAAACAAGCGTTAATTTACCATGAAAGGTCTTAGCTACTTCAAGCCCTTCACCATTCCACTGAAAATAAATTAATAAATTTAATTGTTAAAAATAATCCTGCTACTTATGAATAAAAATCAGGTAAATTAATTTTAATAAATAACTTACTGGAGTTATATATCCCAATACATCATTACTAAAATGTCTTTTCTTGGTGTCTTTGTAATAAAGACCAGCTTGTTTGACAATATCACTTATCTTAGGATCTTGGACAACTAAACCTCGGTCGAATATACTATTATCAACCGGTCCTTTCTGTAAAAAATAAATATTAATTTTTTCATGATACTGAAGTTGACAAACAGAAAATTTTTTAGAATTTTATGACATTGAAAATATGATGAAAAAAAATTCCAGATGTGAAAATTAAAAAAAAATTATTTGAGGAAATTTTTAGAAGTATTTTTTTTAATTGTCATTTATTTGTTATAAAATAAAAAAAAAAATTGACTTTTTAAACTAATTTAAAAATATATATGAGTAAATAAATACCTTAATCTCTGTTCTTTCTTTATCTTTTTTTGATTTATCAGTACGTGGCGACAAAGTACCTTCTATTGTTGTTATAACCAATATCAAACTTATTAACAGAAGCCATCTATTCATAATTATTTTATATTTGTAAATATTTTTTTGAATACATATAAATTATTCTTGATTTAATATTCTTATAGCAACTATTATTTATATTAATTTAATATATACAACCCGGTTTGATGTGGCTTCAATCAGCTGTTTACTTGAAAATTAAAAAAATTTATTAAAACTTAAATCACCGGTACTAATTGTTTGTATTAGTTAAAAAAACAATTTTTAGTACTTTATAAATTATTAACTTGACGATAAATTTGTTACAATAAAAAATTTTAAGATTTTCAGAAATTTTTAGTTTTAGAGTGACGTAGTTTTAGAAATTTTTATGACAGCAAGTGACCGTACCTTCAACCGATATTGACTCCTTAGTATTACTTATATATATATGTATATACCTGCGCATTCAATAATAAATGTCAAAATATGGCGACCAGTTACAGGACATTACGTGTGACTTAATAAATAATATTTACACGTGTCATTTGCTAATGTTTATTTTTTTTTCTTCATTATAACATCTGATTAGTAACATATTTTAAAAATTTTAATTCCACAGCAACTTTGTTTTTAATTGTTAAATAAATAAATTTGACACTAATAATGGAGTGTTTATGTTAAAGGAAATGTATAAAAAAATTAATAATTGACAAATAGTATTTATTAATTAAAAAATAATATATCTTTTTGTCGGTGTGTACATAGTGATAATTAAAAAAGTGATATAATGTATTTAAAAATGCCTAGAAAATTTGTATTTTATTTAATTGTTTTACAAACAATTTTTGAGTGTATTGTTGGGGATTTTATGAGAAGTACTGATGCTGAAATACTTTACAAAATAAGTTGGCCCGGTAAAATTGATACTGAAATTTCAGTGAGTAGTTTTATTATTTATTTATGAGAATTAATTTAGCAGATATTTAATCATTTTTAGAACTTTTGTTAACAAATAAATTATGGCAAAAAAAAAATAAGAAAAAAAATTGACATGTAGAAATTTTAAAAAATTAAAAATGCAATTTTTTAGAATTAATTTAATTTTTAAATAAAATTAAAAATTTATCCAGTGACAGCTAACTTTAATGTCATTATTTTTTTTTTTTTGCGTAGATATTTTTTAATTGATTTATTGAATAATATTTCAGGATAAATTTGAAGAATATCCAATTGTGACAGCTGCCAATGAAAGGTATACATGTAGAATTCCGGAATTAAAAAAACAAGTTAAAGGATCGGAGGAGCCTTATACAGGACCGAATCCAATTGAATTACTTGCTCCATTGTTTGATCAAAAGCTATGTTCATTCAAGGTATAATGATAATGATAAATTTGTTTTTAAAAATTAAAAGAAAAAAAAATAAATATTGTAATATTTATTGATTCATTTCAGTTAGAGTCATATTGGACTTATGAAATATGTCACGGTAGATATGTTAAGCAGTATCACGAAGAGCGAGAAGGAAAAAAAGTCAAAAAGCAAGAATACTTTCTCGGTAACTTTGATAAACTTCAACGATCAAAGTTGTCAGCTGAATATGATGAAAGAGCGAAAAATCCTGGCAAGTATCAAATACCAACTAAAAAGTTCGAGGGCATTCGTATGCCGTATGTTGAAGTGCAAATGACTGATGGGACAGTCTGTGATTTGAGCAACAAGCCCCGTACAATAAAACTGCTGTATGTTTGTCATCACATGGGAAAACATGAAATTTACTCGCTCGAAGAAGTTTCCAGTTGTGAATACGAGGCGATTATTTTGTCTCCGTTCATCTGTAATCATCCTGACTACGATCCACGGTTGACTGATGAAGACGAAATAACCTGCATTCCACAGGACAAGTCACCTAAAAAACCTAAAGCGCTGGCTGCTTTGGAAGCTCAAAGTCTTAAGCTGCGACATCAAAAATCCACGGTAGAAAATATTTCTACCTGAATCGTTACGCAGATTATAATTTTTTTTATTTTTTTCCAGTAGATATGATTTAGATAATTTAGAAAGCTTTTTTTTTTTTTTTTTTTTTAATAATTGCATGCTTTATAATTTATTACAAAAAATATGTGAGCCCATTCCTCAAAATAGTGAATTATAAATTACGATAAATAATTTTGGCTTCTATGGAAAAGAGAAATTAAAACAAAGTCTACGATTAAATTTTCTATACCAAGTGGTATTTTATAAATTATTATTGATATTGTTTTTTTTTTGTTTATTTATAAATTATTTCTTGTACAGGAAGAGAAGCCACAGAAAGTCGTTGCGATATTCCGCTTAGATAAGGACACACAGGTCAGACTACTTTGTATTTAAGGGAATTGGGCTTTAAAATTATTCACTCATAAATCAACGGACCTCTTTTCAATAATCATATCATATTAATATACTTTTAATTATTACTAACACCTTTCTTCACATTTTTTATGAGCTTGCTTTTATTTTTTTCACTTTGGCAATGAAGGATGCATGGATTTAGCAATTTTTAGTACAGCAGCATCTTAAAACATTCATTGGAGCGCTTTATTAAATATAAATAAATATTTTAACTAATTCAATTGATTAATTGTAGGATGGAGAACCGCAGCTGCGTATTGAACTTCATCCAGCTGACGCTATTGAAAAAAATGGTGAAGAATATTTACATTCACTGTTGGATGCTAGCTCTGTGTCCACGGATACTAATCCTGTTCAAAGTTTCCTCAGTGGTAAACAATGCTTACACGGGGTTAGTTATTTTTAATTATTTATTGTATTAAAAAAAAAAAAAAAAGTGCCATTCGGCAGCCGAAATGGAAGTAGATTTCCTACTTGAATAAAATCACAACACTAATAATACAAATACTTCAATCACATTGATGGAATCCCTTCTTCCTAAGTTAAAACGAATGTAATAGTAAAATTTCATCAAATATCTTCAGACGAATAAGTTATTTTCAGTTGAGGACAATAAAATTAAAGCTCGTTTAATGGGCTTTAAAATGCAATTTACAATAATTCGATAAGTTATTTCATTAAAAAGTTATCTGTTTCTGAAAGAAACAGCCAAAATATGAATTTTTACGATTATTGAAACCTTGTAATTTTTTAACTAATTGACCAATTAAGCTCATCTTTGAATTTGACTTTGGTATTTGTCTAAAAATTAAGTATGTTGAGTTTGGAGACGATTCATTACAAATTAGAGACGCTATCGCCCCGACAAGCCGCGTTATATATCGTATATATATACATACTTGAACTTTTGAACCATATGTATTTTCTGAATCAGCTCGACAAACTGAGTCAGAAAATAACAAAATTTTTCGAAAGTTCCGCCATGAGGACAAATGCAATAGTTAGATTTCTATGAAATTTACTAATAAAATATAAGGTAGCCAATAAATAAATAACTAATTAACTGAATGAATAATTTTACAGGGAGACGGATGGTGGAAATATGAATTTTGTTATGGCAAATCAGTAGTCCAGTATCACGTAGAAAAAAGTGGTAACAAAATAACAATCGACTTAGGTAACTTTGATAAGAAAAAACATATCGAGTGGATTGAAGCTCATCCTCAAAAACGACCTAAGCCTCTGGAGCAACGAAAGCAACTGTCACACTTTTACAGCGATGGAAGTTATTGCGATGAAATGAAAAAGAAGAGACAGACTGAAGTAAAATCATTGAATTTTATAATTAATTTAAGAATACTTTTAATATCTATTTAAATGGCAATTTTATTTATAGGTAAGATTAAAGTGTGTTGATGTCTCTGGCAGCCCATCAAGTGTATCATTATTTTTGCTAGAACCCAAAACGTGTGAGTATATCCTCGGGGTAGAGTCACCGCTTATATGTAATATTCTTGAACACGTTGATGAGAATGGGCTTATCAATGAGTCTGCAAATTTTGATTTTGACTCCGTGAAAAGCACATTAGTTTCTCCAAAGAAAAAACAAGTGGAAGATAAAAAGAGAACTTCAGATGAATTATAATTATTTATAAAATATAATTAAGTACATAATATAATTTTGTTTTTGTGAGATATTCATTCTCTTAATAAATAATGTACAATAATTATTTTAAATAATAGGCTTCATTTTTGAGACTGATAATTAGGATTATCTAATCTAAGCTCAATCTCATTTGGAATATTAAAAATAATTAAAAAAATGACAGTGAGTCATCCGATGTTGAGTCCTATTCCCACTCGTAACTGTTGTTTTCTGTGATTGAGCATTCCACTGAGTACCAGCGAAGTCTCGGGCATTGGATAGAGTTTTTTCTCAAAAACGACACCGATGGTAGTCTCTGTGTTGACAAGTCCGCGGAAGATCATGTCAGCATGTGGAATATTGAGCTCGTAGATGAGAGTCGCCGTTGAATCTAGCGTTCGTAAATTAGACTCTAACTCAACGCCAAGCTGTAGCTGTTGGCTAGCTCGATGATGGTAACTAAGGTGTAATCCAGCTTGACCAAAAGTGGCTGCTGCGGTTCTGGCTCCACTGCTATACCTTGCGGCAAATGTCATCAGAGATTGTTGCCCACCTGGTACATACCTACTGCGATGCATCGCTATCTCTGTCCCGAGGGTCACTCGTGATGTCAAAGCTTGCAGATATTGCAACACAAAAGTACCCGAGTGCTTCAGAACATCTGGATCGGCGACTATGAATGACAACGTAGAGTCATCAGATCGGTACTCAGCCGTTGAACTTGATGACAAGCATTTTCCTTTAACTATTTGTGTGACGTGCTTCACCCGAAAACGGCAGCCGAGTGTGTGTGTGAAACTTGCTGCTAGATTACCATTAGGCATAATGTCACCGCTTATCAAAGGATATCTTTCATAGAGTCCAATGTGTTTCGCTCCCTTGTAACATGCGCCAAATTTGTAACCGGATGGCATGAATGAACTTAGCGATATCGTGTGGTATGCGTTGAAATAATCACTCAGAGTTTTACGTACAAATAATCTAGCTCCTTCGAAATTACGCGGATACATGTCTTTTACTTTCTTGTGGACTTCTTCGAATGTTCCAGGGTTTCCTGGCCAATAACCGTCTGGACATGGTACGCATTGTTCTTGTCTAGGTTTACTCATTGACGCTTGTACTAATCCCATTTTTATCACTTATGTTTAGTAAATTTTATTGTGTACTCCAGTAATTGATAAGCTCAGCATCTTTTTACGTAGTTTTTAATTTTTTTAAAAGCAATTCATAAATATTGTATGTATATCAAATGTAAATATATAAAAAAATTATTAATAAATGGTTATGCATCGAAATAATGCATTATTTGTTTATTGCTGCATACTTCAAAGTTTAGAAATTTTTTATGAGGCTGAAAGTAGCAGCCAGATAATTTTTTTACTTTACTGAGTATATAGAATTATTTATATAAATGTAGCCAATATTTAAATATTATTAGTGTTGATTTTTTAAATTATTTTATTATAATTAAATCAACAGACACCTGGCCATTTTTTTGACAAATTAATTTTTACATACCTACTTACTAAATAAATTTTTTTTTTTTTGTATTAAATTATTAAAAAATTGACATTTATCTGATGATACTGAATGAAAATTAAATTAACCGATATCTGAAGATTTTTATAATTTATTTTATTGAAAAATTATGCAATTTTTTTTTTTTAAGTATTTTACTTGTAATTTAATTGATGAAAAAAAATCATCTAATAATTCTTTGAATTTTTATAATAAGCTAATTGTTTTAAAAAAAAATATTTTTTAAAATTTGCACGTATGTATTTATATTGTTTTAAAATTTCTACATGTGAAATTTTTTTCATTGTAATTTAATTGCTATAAAAATCTAAAAAATTATGTATTAATTTAAGTTTTTTACTTTTTTTTTTTATTTATTTAATTAACAAGTAATAAATAAATTGTCTAAATCATTTATGACATTAAAGTTAGCTATCACTTGACAAATTTTTAATTTTATTTAACAATTAAATTAATTCTAAAAAATTATTTTTAAAAAATTGCATTTTTTATTTTTTTAAATTTCTACATGTCAATTTTTTTTTTGCCATAATTTATTTGTTAACAAAAGTTCTAAAAATTATTAAATATCAGCTAAATTAATTTTCATAAATCATTTTCAATATTAAAAATATTATTTAAGTCAAAACTATTATATTACTAAGTCAAAACGTCGCAAAAGAAGATTCCGTTGAAAGAAGATGATACCATTAACGCCACCAGTTGTTAGAATTATAAACTAACAAGAACTGGGGATGAGTATCGAAGATAAACACAATAAGGATATTTTTTTTATTATTTACAAGTCTACAATAAATGTAAAGTAATAGACCCAAGTATACAGTAATGTAATCCCAATAATCAAATATTAATTATTAATTATTCCGTATGATCGTTAGTGTATTTAATAGATAATGACTATTTTTTTTTTTTTTAGTGACTATTGCTTGTAATTCCAGTTAAAGTTGGACACGTGTCCAGGAAGTTGGGACAATCTGGTGAACAATACCCCATAGAGACGACAAATTTGATTGAATGTAGTGAATAAATAAACGAACAAAGATAAAAAATAACCGGCTTAATTAAATAAAAAGAAGAATAATGTCCGGTGCATCGTCAGGACAGATAGACGAGCTGGTGCAATCAGTAAGCCTGCATAATCCACGTAAATTAATATTTAATGGGTACATACTACCTTTTGTATCACTTGAAACTTTGTGGATATACTGCTGGGTGTTTATCTACGGTATTGATGATTATTTCCACGAAGGTCTTGTTGGTATTGGAGCAATAGGTCTCCTCCAAGGATTCCTTTGTCTTTGTTGTCAGTGGTCTGTACACGTCTACTGTTTTTTAAACTGTAGCACCGCTAAAGATCCTTATAAATCAACAATAGTCAAAGTCGTGCCCACTCCAAACAATGGTAGCTCTGAGCTGGTTAAATTGCACCACTCTAAGGACAACAAGTGCTGTTGGTTTATTTTCCAAAAGACCAAATATTGCTGGGACGATGATAAAAAACAATTTCGTTGTCTGCAATTTCCCATCAACGACTTGATCAAGACTTATTCCAACTGGAAAGGATTTTCTGATGATCAAGAAGTCGCTGACACGGAAAGTAAATATGGAAAGAATAAGTATGACCTTTTACTTGTAATTTTAATTAATTTTATAAAGAAAAAATGATTAATTATTACTTTTTATTTTTTAGTTTGGAAATGGAAATACCAGAAGCATGGGAATTATTCAAAGAACGCGCAATCGCGCCCTTCTTTGTCTTTCAGGTATTCTGCGTATTTTTGTGGTGCTTTGATGAGTACTGGTACTACAGTATCTTCACCCTGTTTATGCTGGTTATGTTCGAGTATATGCTGGTACACCAGCAAATCCGTAACATGGCTGAAATTCGCAGGATGGGAAGTAAACCCTACATGATTACTGTTTACCGAAACAGAAGGTGGAGAAGTATGCTGACTGATCAATTAGTACCGGGTGATATTGTTTCGATAACTAGATCTCAGAGTGATAATATCGTTCCTTGTGATATTTTACTACTGAGAGGACAGTGTGTTATTGATGAAAGCATGCTTACTGGTAAATATTTTAGATAAAATACTAATCAGTCATTTTTTTATTCAATTCAATTAAATTGAATTTTTATATTTTATTTTCAAAGGTGAATCTGTGCCACAAATGAAAGAATCAGTAGAAGATATCGATAGTAATCAAGAGCTAGACATGTCACGACAACACAAAATTCATATCTTATTCGGCGGTACTAAAGTCGTCCAACATACGCCTCCTAATAAGAATACATCTGGCTTACGATGTAATAAATAGATTTTTTTTTATATTTTTCATTAAAATTATTTCAATTGATCTTTCAATAAATTATTTTTGCAATAGCGACAGACAATGGCTGTGTGGGTTATGTATTGCGCACGGGATTCTCAACTTCACAAGGAAAACTTCTGAGGACGATATTGTTTGGTGTGAAGCGAGTTACTGCTAATAATTTGGAAACTTTTGGATTTATATTATTTTTACTTATTTTTGCGATCGCAGCAGCCGCTTACGTTTGGATCAATGGTATATACTATTTTCATTATTTTTTTTTTTTTTTTTTTTTTTTTTTTTTCAGTAGTTAATAATTGTTATTTTATTTAGGTACTGCTGATCCAACAAGGAGTCGATACAAATTATTTTTAGAATGTTGTTTGATTCTTACATCTGTTATTCCACCAGAGTTGCCGATTGAATTGTCATTAGCGGTTAATTCATCATTGATTGCACTGTCAAAATTAGGTAAGTTTCTCTGAGATAGGGTAGAAGTACCAGTTTTGGCTATCTTAAGGCCATTTTTGGCCACTTGATATTTTAGTTAATTTGTAACAAATTTAAGTTAGTACGAGCACCAAGGCAACATTTGATAAAAGGCTTGATTTTTTTTTTTTTTAATATAAAGTTTAAATATGTTTAAATAAATTCTGAAAATTTGAAGGAGATTGCCCGATTATTTAAATAAATAATTAACTTTGAAGTTGAGCAATTTAAAATTGGTCTTATAGGGTAACTTCCAAACATTGATAGATTTCTGTATTTTTCTGGTGAAACTGTCGGTTAATATTTTTATAAAGCTTATGGATGATAGTAAATATATTAGTGATAAATTTAATTTAAAAAAATTTACACTTGCCCGACTAATTAAAGTGTATTAATTAAAAGAAAAATAAATGCCGCCATTAGCCAATGTTAAATGTATATCTATATATCTATATATTGAGAAAAATCATCCCCTTACCGCGGTAGAGTCGATATCTTTTCCCACCCTTCCTAGCGCTGATACTACCTTAACTATTTAAGTAGAATTTTTATAGAATTTATGAATTAGTACATTTATACGAATTGAATTCATAAATTCTTGCGCTTATAGAAATATTTATACAATAATTTGAAAATAAAGTGACCAAAAAAAGTACACTGGCTACTGTTCTACCCTATAATTTTTAAATTAAAAAAAAAAAAAAATTGAATTTCATTTCGACGTTTATTTTTAGGTGTATACTGTACTGAACCATTTAGAATGCCGTTTGCCGGAAAAGTTGAGATATGCTGTTTCGACAAAACTGGCACACTAACAAGTGACAATTTAGTCGTAGAAGGAGTAACTGGTATTGAAGGTAAAACCGAGGTAATAAATGTTGATGATGCACCAATAGAGAGTGTACAAGTGTTGGCTACATGTCATTCATTGGTGCAATTAGACGACGGAATTGTGGGAGATCCACTGGAAAAAGCAACTTTGAAAGCTGTCAATTGGACGCTTACTAAAAATGATGTGGTGATACCTAAAAAAGGACGAGTACGTCCTTTAAAAATAGTTCACAGACATCATTTCTCGTCGGCTCTAAAAAGAATGAGCGTTGTAGTTGGTTACAATATGCCTAATACTACTGAAACGAATTACATTGTCACCGTTAAAGGAGCACCGGAAACATTGAAGAATATGTACTCGTCAATTCCTGATAATTACGAATCAACTTATCTGTCGCTATCGCGTCGCGGTGCTCGAGTACTGGCTCTGGGATATAAAAAGTTACCAGAAATAGTATCGCCGCAAGATCTAAGATCATTGACGCGCGATGACATGGAATCAGAGTTAATCTTTGCCGGGTTTGTCATCATAAGTTGCCCATTAAAACCTGACTCGTGTTCTGTTATCAAAGAAATAATCAATGCATCGCATATTGTCGTAATGATAACGGGTGATAATCCATTGACAGCTTGTCACGTCAGTCGCGAATTACATTTTACTAAAAAACCAGTCACTTTGATACTGAGCAAAAATAGTAAAGACAATTGGTACTGGGAAAGTGTCGACCAACAGACAAAAGTACCTTTGGGTCTTGAAAATGTTCTAGAAAGTGGCAAGGAAATTTGGAAAAAATACGCGCTCTGTTTGACTGGTGAGGGTCTAGATTATCTAAAAGATTACGATAATCATTTATTCACTAAATTGCTACCACATATTGTGATATTCGCGCGTTGCGAGCCTAAACAAAAAGAATTTATAATTGTATCACTTCAACGGTTGGGTTTTGTAACTTTGATGTGTGGTGACGGTACCAATGACGTTGGTGCTTTAAAACACGCACAAGTTGGAGTGGCGATTCTCAGTAGCCCACCGGGAGAGAAAAAATCCTCGTCACCGAGCCGTGAGCCCAATTCAAGCAACAACTCTCAATCAACTAATCCAAATGGATCTCAAACATCGACGAATAATCCTAACCGACCGCCAAATATGACTCGCCAGCAGTTAAACAACATGCAGTTGCAACAATTACTGAAAGAAATGGAAGAACAAGATCAGACTGTTGTAAAATTAGGAGATGCGTCTATAGCCGCACCATTTACCAGCAAGCTATCGTCAATACAGTGCATATGTCACATTATCAAACAAGGAAGATGTACTTTAGTTACAACATTGCAGATGTTTAAAATTTTAGCGTTAAATGCACTTGTATTGGCTTACAGTCAATCAGTGCTTTACTTGTCGGGAATAAGGTTCACTGACGCTCAAGCAACAATACAAAGTTTTCTGCTGGCACTTTGTTTCTTGTTTATATCACGCTCTAAACCTCTCAAGACTCTATCTAAACAAAGACCACTGCCAAATATATTTAATTTGTACACAATACTGACAGTATTGTTGCAATTTGCTGTACACTTCTGTTGCCTTATTTATTTAGTTAGAGAAGCTACTGTTTACTCATCGCCTAACGATAAATTGAGAGACATCCTCTCGGATTTGTCTTTGGCACCATCTAATCCAATCAATAATACGGCTGTCGACGTAGCAAATGGCGATGGAGATAATGACAATGAAGTTGAAGCAAATGTCGTCAATAGTGCGGTCTACATAATATCAATGGCATTACAAATATCTAATTTTGCTATAAATTATCGTGGAACCCCGTATATGGAGAGTTTATACGAAAATAAAGCTCTTTTCTATTCATTGAGCGGTAGCTTTGCTGCCGTTTTAGCTCTGGCTTTTGGAATTTCTCCTATTGCGGAATCGCTTAAAATAGTAGATTTTCCATCAGATTTTCGTATTATTTTATTAGCTGTTTTGATTTTTAATTTTGTTGCGGCTTACATTGTCGACAGGTCATGTAGATGGCTGTTCGGTGAAGGTAAATTACAAAAATTGTGATATATTATTAATAATTGATATTATAGACAATTGAATTTATAATTATTGCAATTTTACGGTGCGAATAAGAGAATTTCGGTAGACAATTATTTTTTAATGGTTGTGGTACAGATTTGCGCGAGTAATTTAAAACAAGTTAAATTAATATTTTTGTGCCAAAATTTAGTTTTTTTTTTTTTTTTTTTTTTGAAATGTGTAAATAAATTCAGATTGACAATTACTATTATTATTATTTAATTTAATATAATTATTTCTGATCTGCAATATTTGACATAAATTGTGAATGATTTTTAACTTGATCAATTGTAAATGGATTTAAACGCGCAGTCTTATTAAACTAGTAGGCCAAAACTCAAAAAAAAAAAAAAAAATCTTTTAATTAAAGGAATAATCACTTTTCATTATTTAGTTAGTGTAAATTCTAGACGAAAAAAAAAAAAAATAATAAAAAAATAATAATTTATATCGTTACTAAGTGGCGTATAATAAAGTATAAAAATAAAAATGATATGAATTGTGAATGTTTACATGAATTTATAACTGACCATATTTATAAATGTATATGAATAATCTACAATATTTAACAAATTTAATAATAATAGTAATTAATAATGACAACTTTGAAGATAAACAATTTTATAAATTTATTTAATTCATAACAAATAAGAGACATTCCATTGTATTTGTCAATAGAATATTTAATATTAATATCTCAACGACTTTGTGTTTAATTTTGTATCTGTGTGAATGAATAATAATAGCAGCTAATTGTTTATCCGGTAAAACTGGTTTTTTGTTTGTATACACTTATTACGTACAATCATTTAATTCTGTATACAATTTATTACGCCGTGTCTTGTTATTATATGAGTTGGGATTGAGGAGACATTTGTTTGTCAATTTTAAACTGCAATTTAGGATAAAAGCATAAAAATGTAATATTTGAATTATTGTTATCTTTGGTTTGATAATTATTACTTAAAGAGTGTTTTAAATAAAGAGTGAAATAATTGTGCATTATAAAGAATTAAAATAAAATAATGTAAATCATAAATGTATAAATACATCAATAATTGTTTTTGTGAATGCAATAAAAGCTGTCATTCCGAATTTGGAAATTTGTTTCACAATTGAAAAGTATTCTAGGTCACTTGCACTTTTATTTATCAACTGACACATTTTTCTTAAGTATAATTGATAAATGTTGACAAATCAATGTTTTTAGTTTTGTCATCGATTTTGTTAGATGTTTAAGTTTAATTATTAGTTTTTAACGACAACAAAAAAATTTTTTTTTTATCTCTTATCTCAGTCTAGACATTTATAAAGCTTTATTTCATTTAAGTCATCGGTTGACGAAGTTAGTTAAACATTACATATTTTATTTAACTCAACTGTGATCTTTAGTTTGTTAAAAAATATTTCTCCAAGCCGGTGACCTTTTAATTAATTATAATATATTTAATAAATGCGTACTGTAAGTAGAGAGGGAGAAATATTTTTATTTGAGTGGAATAATAATGATAGTGAATGTAAGTGATGGAGAAAGCGATTGGATCTGATATGATAAATTCTGTTCATCGACTTTGATACACTACTCGCGGCAGTACAAATCGAAATCCACTCAGATAAAGAAGACGATCCGTTTCACGTTAACGTAAACTAAACGTTTTTCTCTACATTCCGATGGGTCAAAAATAAATTATTTGAACTAAACCCGAAGAATGACTTCTAGCAGTGACAGACAGTGACTCGTATCGTGTTTATTCTTTACATTACATAAAATTTGATAAAAAAAACTAAATAAATAAATAAATAATAGTGTCGTAAAGTTAAACTTGTTTGTTAGGATTTAAGTTTGTAAATTTTGATGAGTCAGGTTTTACAACACTAATAGTTAATTACGTCTATATCTTGTCTTTGTTTTGTATATACTATAAAAATCCTATTGGATATATTATTTGTTTATTTATTTATCAATTTATACAACTGTGTTGATAGAAAACCGTCGACTGATTATATTGAAATTTATTGCGGCGACCGAAGAGTTCTAGTTTGCCGGCTGTACTTTAAAATACTTTTCATTTAAATTATTTTTAAAAATCCATTAAATCATGCTGAAACAATTTAAATCCGCTGTTTTTTTTTTTTTATCTGGTTAATAATTATGTGTTAAAATAATCCACTGAACAATTAACTAATGATTGACGCGCATCAGCTAGCTTGTGGCATATGACCCGCGTTATTACTTGATCAATTACGTCTCGTTAGCGGTTGGTCAAGTATTTTTCTTACAAGTTAGTGTGACACTTGGAGTTTTAAAATCTTCATAGAGATACTTTTTTTAAAATTTATTTATAATAAATTAAATAAAAAGTTAAAATGGAAAATTCAGAACGATGGTACTTTCATTGGGCAGATTGGCTAGTGTTTAGTGCAATGTTGAGTTTTTCAGCAGGAGCTGGTATTTGGCATTTTAAAAAAGCTAGTCAGTCATCAACGATTGAATATTTACTCGGAAGAAAAAGTCTTAATGTTTTTACTGTATCTGCTTCTCTTATCGCGAGGTAAATTTTATATTTATAGACTGTTAATTTTTTGAATAAATATTTAAATTTATTTTTTCTTGCAGTTTTATATCCGGAGTTACAATATTGGGTACTCCAACTGAAATTTATAATTATGGAACACAGTATTGGATAACAGTTTTATCACTTTTAATATGTGGAATTATTGTTATTTTTGTTTACTTACCAGTATTTATGACTTTACGTTTAAATTCTTGTTATGAGGTATGTCTTTAAAATTATTCAATTTTAATAATTTATTATAAATAATTAAAATTTTAAATTTTTGTTATTTAACATATCTTCTAAGAATTTTTCAAATGCTAATTAAAAAAATAATATGCAATTTATTTTACAGTAAAGATAAGACATTTTAAATTGCTAACAGACAAAACGTCAACAATTATTCAACTGTAAAATTTTTAAATCCATATATAATTAATCATCGACTCAATTAATCAATTGTTTACTTTGCAGTATTTGGAAATGAGATTCAACCGATCAGTGCGACTGCTAATATCATTTTTTTTTGTAATTGACGTGGTAAGCATTAAAACAACAAACGTTTAAATTTATCCAATAATAATAACAAAAACAATACTTTTATCAAGGTACTTTATCAATCAATTGTCCTTTACGTACCAGCGCTCGCACTTAATCAAGGTAATTTATATAATTATATATAATCGTCACGTAATTATATTTTATGGACTTATCGTTATTGTTTTCAGTTACGGGAATAAATGTTTACGCAATTAGTGGTGTTGTGTGTTTTATCTGTGTATTTTACACCGTTTTGGTAAGTTTACATTATTAAAATATAAACCTTTTTTTTTTAATTTATTTGTTCAGTTATAAATAAATAAATAAATAAGTCAGCAAGTGGATAATGATGATTAATAAATAATTTCCTGTCTTTGGGATTACAATGCTGTGAGAAAATGTTTAGGAGTCTGTTGAAATGTTTATGAACGAAAAGGGCGTACTTACAATGGTGCATACTCAAGACCCCGAGACCAAGATACAATAGCCAGGAGCATCGAGTGCCTGTTGTTGGCCTTGCATATAACTCTTTATATACATATTTATACAATACACGTACATAAAACTTTTATAATAATAATAACAGTATCTACTATAAGTTGTTTGGAAACTAACGGCAAGTTAAAGTGATTAATTATCCGTTTATATAATTATTTAAGTTATTAGTTAAACTTTAAATTAATCATTATTTATCGTTGTCAAGTAAATAATTTTATTTATTGCATAACTTATTTATTTATTTATCATTAAACTACTGAAGTAAAGTTGCAAGAATGAAAATGTAAAATTTTTGTAATTAATTACAAGTGGGGCCCACTATTTTAATTTTCATTTTTTTGAACTAAATTTCTATTTGATTTTATTGAGATATTTTTATTTTGAAAAATACATACAAAAATTAACAATTTAAAAAAAAAAAGTTGATTATCAAAGTTTTAACAAATTTTCAAAAAAATTTATAAATTTTTTAGAAAATTATGGTATTCAACTATTCTTTGTTTTAAATTGTTCGTTTTTTTATATACTTTTTAAAAAAATATATATTAAAAAAAGATAAAATAGAAATTTTATCCAAAAACACGAGAGCCAAAATTTTTTCCAACTTTTGAAGGCAAAAAAGCTATCGAAATCTTTATTTTTTTCTTTCACGACATTTTTTATCATAAATGAGCCGTAAAAACAAGCAGAATCAAAAAGAAATTTAAAAATGTTAATTTTTCACCTAGATATGGCCAAAAATAGGATTGACCCTACTTGTAAATAATTATCGAAATTTTAAAAACTATATTTGTTTAAAATTTTAAATATTGAGTTTTAATTTATGATAATTATTTTTAAGGGTGGAATAAGAGCTGTCGTTTGGACAGATGCTTTTCAAGTTGGAGTAATGATTGCTGCTGTGGTAACAGTAACTAGTCTGGGTACTTATGAAGTTGGAGGTCCATCAGAAGTATGGAAAAAAGCATTGGAAGCTAAGAGAATACAATTTTTAAAGTTAGTAACCCAACGTTTTTGCTTTTTAATTAGTTTATTCATTTTTATATCAATCAGTAAAATATTAAATTAATTAAATTTACAGCTTCGATCCTTCGCCGTACACAAGACATACCTTTTGGTCGGTTTTAATTGGATCTTGTATTTACAGTACGTCCTACATTGCCGTTAATCAAACGATAGTCCAGCGTTATAGTTCACTGCCGACGATGAAAGTCTCAAAAATGTAAATAATAATAACAATAACAGTAATAATAATAAAAAGTAATATTTAATTATTTGGTTTGGAATTAAATTTCAGAGCAATAGCAGTATTCACCATTGGAATAATGCTTTTTATTTCTCTGACATGCTGGTGCGGGCTCGTATTATTAGCTTGGTGGTCTCCGCCAAAGTGTGATCCAAGAGCCTCAGGATTAATTAAAACAGATGATCAAATGCTGCCTGCTTATGTTATGCAGATCGCTGGTCATTTGTATGGAGTTCCAGGATTATTCACTGCCGGAATATTCGGTGCTGCCTTGAGGTATTTATTTTATCTCTATTACAAATGTCTTCACAATATTAAATATTTATTAATTAACATTTAATATTGCAGTACTCTATCAGTAGGTTTGAATTCAACTTCAGTTGTGCTTTTAGAAGACTTTGTTAAAGGATATTTTAAATTAAAACCCACCGATCGTAATTCAACGATATTCGTCAAATCAGTAGTTATATTTCTCGGTTTATTCGCAATGGGCTTTTTGTTCGTAATTGAAAAACTTGGCGGCGTATTAGCTGTAAGTTAAAAATAATTGTTTTTCTTTTTTTTAAATAATTATTTTCCTATAACGACTCTTTGTTCTCATTCTAGGTCACAGGAAGTTTATCCGCGATAGCTGCAGGAACTTCTTTTGGTGTTTTCACTCTAGGAATGCTCGTACCATGGGCCAATTCAAAAGTAATTAACTTTATGCCACTGAATTGATGGAAAATTTAATAAGTATCACTAGTATAAGTGACATTTCGATGGCTTGTTCTCTATTGTTAGCTCTCGTACTCTATTGTAAAGATTTTCTAATTATCGAACCCTTTTATGTCTCCCTTCTACTTTTCTGCCCAGTAATTCCCTACCTTCAAAGTGCTAATGAATATTAAGTTGAGAAAGCCCCTACAATACAAATTATATAATACTATTTATGGAAATAATTTAATAAAGAAAGTAGATTTGAAATATAAAAGGATTGTATAATCAAAAATCTCTACAACGTTTTTTGTGTGATTTTAGACTGACAAGTTTCCTCAATTGATTGTAATAATCTATATTATTGAGAGAATAAGAAAAATTTTGTGTCCAGGATAGTCATATGATAAAATCGGTTTTTTTTAGTGAAATTTAGTGTCATTGCAAAGGTCTTGATTTGAATTTGTGCCTTTTCAAGGTTTCATATCATTTTCACCGATAGTCAATTTATTATGATAAGTATTTAGGCTGCATTTGAAAATGCTCTATCTCTAGATACATAATTAAGAAATGATCTTGTATCTTGTGAACTATCGACATTTTTAAAGATATAAGCTCATCCCGATGTGACACTCATCAAGACCTATCATTTGAATGAATACCCACATCAATTTTTCATATATTTATATATATTATGTATATGTATATATGAAAAATATATCAAAAATGCATGTGGGTACTCAAATGAAAGCTCTTGATGAATGTAACATCGGGATGAGCTTATATCTTTAAAAACTTCAATAGTGAAGAAAGTACAGGGCATTTTAACAAATATCTTGTGAATTATTGACATTTTTAAAGATATAAGCTCATCCCGACATTACATTCATCAAGACTTTTCATTTGAGTACCCACATCAATTTTTCATATATTTATATATATGTATATATGAAAAATATATCAAAATGCATGTGGGTACTCAAATAAAAGCTCTTGATGAGTGTAACATCAGGATAAGCTTATATCTTTAAAAACGTAAATATTTAAGAAAGTACAGTGCAATTTAACTAAATTCATTATTTAATAAAACAAAATTTCATTTATTAATAGTTCACAAGTTACGGTAGTCACATAGTGATATGATCACCTAAAGATATTTTTTTTATTTAAAGGGAGCACTTGTAGGCGCAATAGCAGGATTTTCATTAGCAGGATGGTCTAGTCTTGGCGCTAATGCGATGATTGCCACTAAGGCCATTATTGCAAAAAAACTTCCTGTAGATTTAAATTATTGCTCAGGAAATGTGAGTCAAAGCTTTATAAACCAATTTCCCGTGGATCACAGGTATTTATTTTATTTGTTTGTTTATTTTACTTTTTATTTGTTATTTGTTTAAATTTAATTGTGTGTAATATTTAACAGTGAGGATGATGTGTTCCCACTGTATCGGCTGTCCTACCACTGGTTCGCCGGCTTGGGAACGATCACTGTTATAATAGTGGGAGTAATTGTGACCTGGATAACAGGACCAGAGGATATAATAAATGTCAATCGGGATTTATTGTCTCCAGTGATTCATAGGTAATTTTTTTTTATCAGAATAATAATTTTAAATATTTCAATAAATTTAAATTCAATTTCATTTAAATTTAAGGTTTCTACCGGACCCTAGAAATAGCTTAGAATTGGCTAAGTGGCAACAGAGGGCAAATGGAGACTCACAGGCTTCTAATTACTTGAATGATGGAGCACATATAACGACTCCGTTAAACGAAAATGTACCTCGATAATTATTAACAAACTAATTTAATTGCCATCAGTTGAATAATTTAATTTATTTAAATTTTCTAGACTATATAATATACATAATATAAATGTATTATAGAGTACATATCAAGTGCGATTGAATAGAAAGCATTGAATAAATTCGTCAACTGTATATTTGTAGTTAAAATCAGAAGGTCCTGGTAATTTAACACGTCCAGGGTAGTTTCTGTTAAGTGAGTTTGTTTGATTTTCAAGCTTTAGTGATTCAGAGTGACCGTTCGAGAAGGTGGTGCCGAGCGGAGAGCGGAGAGCGAACAGTGAAAGCTCCGGGTTCTGATGTTGTGTACGTCTACACCTTTAGACTCCAACTGGGATATTAACCAGCTTGTTATAAGGCAAAGCAACGTTCAAACATCCTTATTAAGGTGGCGCAAATAGGTCGGTCTCACGTACCGTTTACTTGCCCTAGTTAATTGAATTTTCGCTAGCCAAAGTGCGGTCACTCAAAAGCACAACACTCACTCACCAGTCACCATGTAATTAACTGGCTCGACTCGATGAAGTCAGGCTTTTAGTAATAAACATCAATCGATAATAAATCATTTATATACAAATGTAAATATCAATGTTATTGTTATTGTTATTATGATTATTTTATTGTTTCAAGTTCAATAGATTAATTATTTAAAAGCCCGTGATGTTAAATTAATATTTATGTACACACTCTCGATGTGGATTGTGTTTGTGTGAATTTATATGATTTAAATTGAACATGAGTACACATGGAGAGTATACACGTGGAGAAATCATCGGGATCGTGAGACTGCGTACGCGATAGAGATTGTACTCTGAATGGGGCTAGTTTGAAATAGTTAACAGGCCTTCAAGAGAGTACAATCGCCGAGCGATTGGTTCATCCTGCCTACAATCACACGCCGAATTATACATCCTTTAACACCGAGTAGAGATCTTGCAAATCCATGCACGCACAACTTTAACTACCCATCGGTCACAATTTTCTTTTTATATTATTTTTATTCAGATTTTTCGCATTTCAAAAAATTCCATTCAATTTTTCTTTAATTTTTTCCCTTCATTCGTCACCCGTCTGAATTACCTCTATTGAACTGTAAAATATTCACAAGTTGTTTTTTAGAGGAATTCATCCTTGTAGTAACAATAATGAAAATAAAAAATAAAATTACATTAATTATTAATCAAATAGTATTGTGTGTACCTGAAGAATAAACAATGCGTCGGGTAATATTATTTAGTATAGGATGTACATGTGGACGGCAGTGTGTACGAGTATTGTGTATACATGAAGCGTGTGACAATCTCTTGGACAAATATTAGCCCCTGCTCGTCTAATCCGCCGGCAAGCTACCGTACTATCTTGGAATTATCTCGACCATGGAATTGGATTCTTAGAGAGTTAATTGGACACAGAGGATATTGTAGTTGGGGATGAGGATAGGCACTGAAGTCGTTAGATAAACGAGGAATGGAAAATCAACGTGATGCTAGTAGTGGTGGTATCGCTGCTGGTGCCTTAACGATAAGCAAACAGCTTTGAGCACAAGCACAAGATATAATATTTGATTGTTATAAAATAATAATATACATTATTTCAGTGGCTGTTTAAATAATCCTTTCTGTTGTTATTATTATTATTATTATTATTTTTAATTACTTATTTCTTTCTTTTTAATACCCGTACAAAAAAAATTTTGGTTCATGATGAATTTCATCGTGAATTTCAGTTGATGTTCATGCTGAATTTGAAACGAATTATATAGAAAACTAGTAAAACAAATCATTAGAGTCGATGGTCGTAAAATATCTTTTCCAATTCACACTGAATCAACAGTCTCAAAAGTCGAAATTTAACAGCTATTATTGAATAAATTTTTTAAGTGCTAATTTAGACAAGATGTGAATCATTATTTCGAAATTCATCATGAATTACACGCTGAGTTCCAGCTGAATTTCGTGATGAATTTGGAACAAATTGTGTATGAAACTTACTTCTTTTAATCAGTAAAGAAACCCTTGTGTCAATTATATTGGAATTTTTATTTTTATTTACACTGACTTATTATTTACGATTCTTAAACTTCTATCTGGATAAATTTTTTGAAGTAAAAGAACACAATATGCAAAATAATATTTCGAAATTCATGAAATTCAATTCCAATATAATTGACTGCGAATATATTTTTACGGATTAAAAAAATTAAGTTTCATGTATAATTTGTTTCAAATTCATCATGAAATTCAGATCTTGTCTATTTGCACTTAAAATTTTATTCAATAATAGCTGTTAAATTTCGACTTTTGAGACTGTTGAGTCAGTGTTAATTGGAAAAGATATTTTACGACCATCGACTCTAAAGATTTGCTTTACTAGTTAAAAATCTATTTGTTTTACTAGTTTTCTATACAATTCGTTTCAAGTTCAGCATGAACTTCAACTGAAATTCACGATGAAATTCATCATGAACTAAAATTTTTTTTATTATATTAAAAGTCAAGTTAAATAATAATAATTATATCGTTGATGCAATTATTCGAGCAGTAGTTGAGGTTGTAGAGTTTGTAATGTAAATTAACGTATTTATTTGGCGAAAAGTTGTTTGGATACCGTATGTGTGCAAGCAGGTTAAATGTAAGCTGGTTACAGTAGTTCGAAAGGACGTAAGCTCAACCCAGTACACACCGGCATAAAGGTATACTATGCGCTGTCTCTGCTGTTATATACCCTCTGATGTCGCGGTAACCTCAGATCAAATAACCTGCTCGGATCTGTGTTCTCCAGTTTATATATCTGTTACGACAGACGACTAACGGAATAACTAATTTATCAATTCTTCGGTTCGGTTGACTTCGATTTCCCGAGACTATTTGCGCACTCGTGCAAACAGGTCCATTGCTAATTCAAACTCTCTGCTGCTCTACCTCTTGTCTACTCTCGAGTATCAATGGTACCAATGTTTGAACAAAAATCATTATAGACATACTGAGATCGGTAAAGATACACCACTTGTATATAAACTGATTTGCCTCAAACGGTTTTATACATTTTTAATTTTATACTCGTCCTATCTGACAGTAATTCTCAGTCTTGTCTGTTTTCAATCCAACGAGATTGATTAATTAATTAAAAATTATTGCTGCGATCGAGATTGAACAGCGACTGTACTCAATCGAGAGCAGAGAGTATTTATTATGAATAGTTGATTAATTGAAGACAATGGATTGGTGTAGAGTAATTGAGATCAAGAGGATGAGGAAGAGGAAGATGTAGATGTAGATGTTGATGTAGATGTTGATGTTGATGTTGATGTTGATGATGCACTAAGCAATATTTCAAAGTAACGGTATTTAGTTGGAACGTCGCACGACTGTCATCCAGGATGAAACGGTTCCCGTAGCTGTAACGCTGGAGACATTAAGCGTAATGAATTACCAGCCGAGAGGAGTAATGTGTCTTAATTATGCCGGGCGGCGCAATAATTATGTAATTAGGCATTGTTTGCCGACCAGTCCCTAATCACAACCCTGATGTGATGCTGCGGAAATCTCGTCACGACATAATGTATCTTCCCTTGTATTGCTCCTTGGATAATATTATTGATCCATTTTAAACTCATTATTCTTATATAATCAGCTTACTTAGTAATTATATATACATTGAAAAATCTTGAATTACATAAATTATACTAATTAATCAAATTATAGTTTTTTTTTATAAAATAAATATTTCAATGATCGAGTATAAGAAGAAAATTGTATCATTAAATTATTATGTGACAGTTATTTTAATTTAAATTATTAACAGAAAAATTAATTTATATTATTAAAACAATAAGCAGAATTTTGTGGCCAGTGTATTTATATGATAAAATGGGTTTTAATGGTTATATTTAGTATCGTTGGAAAAGTCTTGATCTGGAGTTGTGCCTTTTCAAAGTTTCATATCATTTTCACCGATAGTCAATTTATTATGATAAGTATTTAGGCTGCGTTTGAGAATGCTCTATCTCTAGATACATAATTAAGAAATGATCTTGTATCTTGTGAACTATTGATATCTTTAAAGATATAAGATCACCCCGACATTACACTCATCGAGACCTTTCATTTGAGTACCCACATCAATTTTTCATATATTTATATATATTACATACATGTATAAATGAAAAATATATAAAAATGCATGTGGGTACTCAAATGAAAGCTCTTGATGAGTGTAACATCGGGATGAACTTACATCTTTAAAAATATCAATAATTAAGAAATGACCTTGTATCTTGTCATCTACGGACATTTTTAAAGATATAAGTTCACCCTGACATTACACTCATCGAGATCTTTCATTTGAGTACTCACATGAATTTTTCATATATTTATATATATTATATATATGTATATATGAAAAATATATAAAAATGCATGTGGGTACTCAAATAAAAGCTCTTGATGAGTGTAACATCGTGATGAGCTTATATCTTTAAAAACGTCAATAGTTAATAAAGTACAGTGCAATTTAACTGATAAATAAACTGATAAATTTAATTGATAATTTTTTTATGGTTAATAATAAAAATTAAAAAATAGTTATTGTTATTGTATATGTAGTGTAATAATATAATTTTAATAAACATACCGTTGATTATGTGTTACCATAAGATGTTAGATTGTCACTGTGAAATATGTAGCCAGTACATTAATATTTATACGAGAAATCAAATCCTTAAAGCCGGCAATATCGTGTCAGAGCGCGTAGACGAGTCAACGAAAATCTAAGATAAACACGAGTAGAGGTTGCTGTGTACCTCCCATAAGCCTAGTGATAAATTTATCAAGAAGACCTACACTAGCATGACGTACAGAACTATACCTTCTAAGTGAGATTCAGTCTCTGACGAGTAAAAGACTTAACACTTTAGCTTTGCAGAGTCAATGGAATAAAATTTACATCCCTTAACCGCATTACTGCAGATAATGCAACGGTGGATTA